CCCTGATGATCCTCTAATCGCCTGAGCCAAGGTGTGAAACTGGGGTGGGTCCCAATCAGCCAGAGTTTCGGGTGGTTCATTGTGAAACCTGGCCCCACCTTATCATGCGAATTCCTGAGGTCAGATGGCCCAGGATGTGAGTGGGCGTTAAGGCGTCTGGGAAGGGATCTCAAAACTGGATTATAGATGGCAGAGAGTTGGTGTCGTAAACCCCCGCCTCTGTTCAAAGATGGTCGCTCACAGTGGACATAGATGGCTTCTTTCACTCCTCTTTCAAACCATCTGTCCTCTCTGTCCAAAATGTGAACATTGGCATCCTCGAAAGAGTGTCCTTAACGCCCACTCACATCCTGGGCCATCTGACCTCAGGAATTCGCATGATAAGGTGGGGCCAGGTTTCACAATGAACACACCCGAAACTCTGGCTGATTGGGACCCACACCCAGTTTCACACCTTGGCTCAGGCGATTAGAGGATCATCAGGGGGTCCTTTTGTCCCTCTGTGGGGGGTACTCCCACTAGGTTTATATCTGGGACTCTCCACCATTTGACCTTAGAACTGAAGAAGCTTCTCGGATGAGAGGTGAAACGTCTTCAAGCAACTTAAAGAAGTCCAGACGCTTTTCTTTGCAAGCTCCTTTGACTACGATGACCTGGATGACTGAGAACCTTCACAGACAAAGCTCATTAGAATTCTGCAAGCTTTGTTTTTTCCTTTGTTTTAATGTATGTACAAGTGAAAAGTTTGGACACAGCTTCTCATTTAATGGTTTTTCTTTATTTTCATGACTGTTTACATTGTAGATTCTCACTGAACGCATCAAAAATATGAATGAACACATATGGAACTTTGCTATAAACAAAAAAAGTGTGAAATAACTCAAAACATATTTGATATTTTAGATTCTTCCTAACAGCCCCTTTGCTTTGATTCCTGCTTTGCACACTCTTGGCATTCCATGAGCTTCATGAGGTCGTCTCCTGAAATGGTTTCCAACAGTCTTGAAGGAGTTCCCAGAGATGATGAGCACTTGTTGGTCCTTTGTGAACAACTCTGCGGTCCATCTCATCCCAAACCATCCCTGGTTTTAGGTCAGGTGACTGTGAAGGCCAGGCCATCTGGTCAGCACTCCATCACTCTCCTTCTTGGTCAAACAGCCGTGACACAGCCTGGAGGTGTGTTTGGGGTCACTGTGCTGTTGAAGAATAAATGATGGTCCAACTAAATGCAAACCAGATCGGATGGCGTGTCACAGCAGGATGCTGTGGTAGCCATGATGGTTCAGTGTGCCTTCAGTTTTGAATAAATCCCCAACTGTATCCCTGCAATGCAACCCCCACACCATCACACCTCCTCCTCCATGCTTCATGGTGGGGACCATGCATGTAGAGACCATCTGTTCACCTTTTCTCCTCTGAACAGCTGATGTAGAGATGTGTCTGCTACTGGAGCTCTGTGTGGCATCTATCTGGGCTCTAATCTGAGCTGCTGTTAACTAGTGATTTCTGAGGCTGGTGACTCAGATGAATTTATCCTCAGCAGCAGAGGGGACTCTGGGTCTTTCTTTCCTGGGGCGGTGAGACAGTTTCATTGTAGCGGTTGATGGTTTTTGCGACTGCACTTGGGGCACATTCAAGTTTTCCAGACTGACCTTCAGTTCTTAAAGTAACGATGGACTGTTGTTTCTCTTTACTTAGCTGATTGGTTCTTGCCATAATATGAATTCTAACAGTTGTCAAATAGGGCTGTCAGCTGTGTACCAACCTGACTGCTGCACAACACAACTGATGGTCCCAACCTCAATAAAGAAGGCAACAAATGAACCCTGACAGACACACCTGTGAAGTGAAACCATTTCAGGTGACGACATCATGAAGCTCACTGAGAGAAGGCCGAGGGTTTGCAGCGCTGTCAACAAAGCAAAGGGCGGCTACTTTGAGGAATCTGTGATATAAAACATATTTAGAGTTTTTACCAGTTTTTTTTTTTGCTACATAATTCCATATATCTTGCTTCATATATTTGATGTCTCCAGTTTGTATCTTCAATGTATTAAGTAGTACAAATAAAGAAAAACATACATTAAATAAGGAGGTGTGCCTAAACATTTGACTGGTAGCGTGTATATATATCTATAACTTAAACTAACATTTGAAACAGTAGTAGTGTGATGGACCGAGTTGAAAAAGCAGGAGTACCAGAAATTAATAGAAAAATAGAGTTGCCATTCATTTAACCCCAAAATTATATTTACAAAAGTAATAAACTTAAGCTCATAAAAGAAACAAAACAAACTAAACCCAGGCAAAAACTGCAAACTTAACAAAACAAATCACTGCCCAAACAAACATGACGGACCTAAACATGAAATGACACACAGGGGTTTATATAATGGCTGATCAGACCACTATGACACACGAGGGGGTAACTAAACAAAACACAGTCGTAAACAAACAATGATGTACAGTCTGGTTTGTTAACAAACAAAAGATCAAAGAAGAAAATCAAAACTACTAAACCTTAAACTCAATATTTAACTAAGTACAAATACTGTTTTTTATTTAAAGAAAACACACATTCTCCCCTTCAGCAAGAAGTGGTGGTGCGGTCCAGTTAGCTCGCTTCGTATTTAAGGGCTTTAAACCCTGGCTGCCACGTTTTGTCTGGCAACTCCCAGGGATCGTGGCAGGTAAGAGGAAAGAAAAACAAAGGTAAGTCAAAAATCAAAGTAATGAACTGGTATGCATACAAAAGTAAACTAAATGTGCACGCTTACAAATAGAACAAATATATCCAAACCAAACAATAAACTTATTGGAAACTAAAGTGTGTTATTGTGTTCAAATGAAAAAATACATAGGAGTTACCGACTTTTAGAGCGTGGGTTTGGCCATCACAAGTAGGCAATTTAAAAAAAAAATAAAATGCAACGTGTAAAAATCAACCCAAAAATGGAGAAAGACTGTAGACAGCTGTCAGATATGTAAACGATATATGTTAGGATGCCTGGGTCGTAGACCCAGGGTTTTTGAGTTTACGATATTATTTATACTGTCTAGTTTTTGGTTTCTTTGAGTTCTATCTTATGGCTTAGGTCTCTGTCTTCTTTAGTTGCTCTGTCTCCCCTATCACCTGCATCCCCTTGTCTAGTTCGCGTTTATGTGTATCTTTAGTTCCTATTTCTCAGTGTTTGTGTCTGCCCTGTTCCCACGTCTCTGTTCCCTTTGTTATAGTGCCTGCCCGTGAGTGTGTGTAATGTTTCCTGTTTTACTTTGAAAGTCCATGTCTGATGTTAATGTGTCTGGTTTTGCTTCCTCTTGTCTCGTTAGGCCTGATTTGCCCCAGCTGTGTTTCCCTCCTGTTACCCATTCCCTGATTGCTCCCTCTGTGTATTTAAGCCCTGTGTTTCTTGGTGTCTGGGTCGCGATCTACCGTTTATTTTGCTGTGTATTTTGTCAATCCGCCGGTGTTAGTTTATTTTTGACCTTTTTCCCCAGTTATGTTATGTTTGAGTTCAGCATTAAAGCTGTTTTGGTTTAAGTTCTGTCTCCGGAGTCTGCACCTTGGGTCCTATTCCTGCCTGCACACAGCCACACCTAACAACATAAGAACAAATAAACGATATCGAATTAGGAACAAGTAAAATAATGTAATTGTTATCTCACCGCCTAATCATCCAGAGTTATACATGACTCCAAAACTGCAAAAAAAAGTTGTCAAGGTGTCACGATCCTGGGTCTTATGACCCAGTGTTTTGAGTTTTAGTTCTTTTGATGTTTATAGTGTATGTTTAAGCTTATTAGGTTTCCTATGTTCATTTGCTTATTAGTTCCCCCTTGTGTTTTCAACCCCTGTGAAGTCTCCCTTGCCCTTCCTGTGTTTCATGTCTGTTTGTCTTATGTTGTCATGTCTGCGTCTCATTATATTTCCTGTTTTATTTTGAAGGGGTCCTGTGTTCTTATGTTCAATGTTTTTAGTTTTACTCTCTCCTTGTGATGTCGTTATGTTCATGTGTGTCAGCTGTTTCTCCATGTGTTCCCACTTCCGTCATTATCCTCCTGTGTGTATTTAGTCCGTGTGCTTTCAGTCATTCTTTGTCAGGTTGTCTGCTCATCCATGTCCAGCTCCCAGTTTAGGTTATTGTTTAGTTTCACCAATGCCCTTTTGTTTGTACCTTTTTTGCTAGCCTCAATAAACGGCTAGTTGTTTGCTAAATCCACGCCACGTTCAGTTTTTGGTCTGCGTTTGAATCCTCTTTTGCAAACACATACAGTCTGCCCCAGCCAGACTGTGACACAAGGGTATTTGCTGAGACATTGTAAAGTTGTTTTGAGTAGTCACCAAAAAAGGAATAATAAAATGAAGTTGTTATTATTCTCAACTCAAAGAATACAATAATTCTTTATTTTCAGTAAAGAATTTTTAAATCATGTTAATTAAAAAGCCATGTAAACCATGCTTCTGTTTTGTATTTCAGCCCAAGGAATCGAACAAGAATTTTCTCCTTTTTCCTTAAAAGCGAGCAAACTGCGATAGATATGGAATGAGATTCTAAATTGTCTGACTTTAGATTTTTTTCGCATTTCCATGCCAACACTTTAATTTCTCAGAACTAACCGAGCACTACCACTGATAGAATGGCTGCAAGGCTTTTGAGGGTTCAATCTCAAAACCATAATAACCCCGTTCAGATAGTAAACTAGATAAACGTGTTGGTTTTTCATCTATGCTCAGTTCGTGATAAAACATAATAAACTAGCGTACTGCCACAACACGGAATACTCATGCGTGGATCTGCCACAGATGGGTCCCTCTGTATGAGTAGGGCGAATAATTGAAGCTCACGGCCTTATCAATAAGCAGCCCCACGCGTGAGTACCGTCCCATCTGAAAATAAAAACAAATCCAGCATGCTGGCTCAATCTCCGCGAGCGACTTTCTCTCTCCACCAATCAGCGCGCACCGCAGCTGCACGCTAAGCCACGCCTTCTGTTCTCTCGAGCTGGAACGTTTTGTTTATCGTGCCAAAGAAGTTGTTACAGCTTCGATGTGGCACGATTGTGTTCACTGTTAACACGCAGACTTTTTACATATCAAAGCACGCAGATAGAAGTAAGGACGTCGTAGCGTAGTGCAGGGTTAGAGTAATGACAAAGAAAGACGTCCAGCCTCCATGCTTACTTTTAACAAAAAAGAAGTTATGGATTCTAACGACGGTAGGAAGAGACGCAAGGTAAGCGGCTTTGTGCGGGGCTGCAGGCGGAGTGTGGCCGGAAAGATGAAACGAGAGATGAGCAAAGTCCTGCGCTCCATAGCGCTGGACGATAACAACCGTAAAGAGCTCGTGCAGGGGGAAGAGGACGACTACGACTGCTTCCCTATCAGTTTCCTCCGCAGTGACCTATTGGAGCCCCACTTAGTCGTGGCTCCCCGGTACAGCCTGCTACGAGAGGTCGGTCGTGGAAGCTACGGGGTGGTGTACGAGGCTGTAGCTCGGAAAACAGGGGCCAGGGTAGCGGTGAAGAGGCTGCAGTGTGACGCCCCGGAGAAAGTGGAATTGGCGCTAGCCGAATTCTGGGCCTTGACGAGCTTGGAGAACCGACACCAGAATGTAGTCCAGCTGGAAGAGTGTGTCCTGCAGAGGAACGGCTTGGCCCAGAAGATGAGCCACGGAAACAAGAAATCAAAGCAGTATTTGCGGCTCGTGGAGACTTCACTCAAAGGTACACACGCTGCTGTTAGCCGTGCAGTATCACCAGTACAGTAATGAAAGTACAGGAGCTGCTGTTGGAGCTTGTGTCGTGGTGATTTTACCGGCCTAAGAAATGCAAACTTTACGTGCACCGTGTTAAAGCCTCGATGTCTCATCTGAGATGTCTCATTCAAGATCTAAGCAGAATGAGAAACGACAAAAGGCCATATTTAAATACCGCTTGTTTGGTAGTTACTGATAGGCAGTGTTAGCAGTATTGTGAGCCTGGTTTATTATTTATTCTATTTGACACAATGAATTTTTACACTCCGTTACAAATAAGAGAATGCTGCTGAGTTCACCAAAGTGCTGTAGACATAAGTTAAAAGGTGCAGGTTTGATTCACTAAAGAGCATTTAAAGTCAACTTCGTTGCAGCCTGCCGTGACGTCACTCCACTGCTACCTATAGAAGGCACAGAAAAGTACACGGTGCTGCCCTGCTCACGAGAGAACACAGTGTACTACTTACAGCCTGCCCTTGTTAACTGAAATGTGACATGTTAAATAGTAATAGTACAGTGCACTGTCAATGGCAGAGTTGTTACATTTTTAACTTAATATGATCAGTGCAATTTTAACCTATTTATCATATCGTTTGTTTACATTCATCAGCCCAGAGATACATTTAGTGATGTTTAAATGTGTCTTCAACAAAATGAAATTTAACATCATCTAACATCTTAATGCTGATGTTAAAAGCTGGGTTCTGAACAGGCCCAGTTTACAGTCTTGTTTTCTTTTAATAGCTTGCCTGTTATGTAAGTGTCACCACTGAGGCTCTCTGAATAAAATATTAATATAAAATATTAATCCTAAGCTGGGATCCCTTGGATCCATCAAGCAATGACAAAGAACGCTTGTAGATTTGAAACATTGAGATGGATTTGATTTGTATCTTTATGGCCCATCAGCTTTTGTCGTGATCCACCTAACAAGTTTTTCAAATGCAGTCAGTGATCATGACACAAGCATGATAACTGAGTGCAGCCTTTGGTTAATGCCTGTGAAAATCTAGCAAATTCAATGTTATCATTGTGGACAGGTAATGGTCTTTGAAGTGATGAGAAAGTAAATAACTCCCAGTGTCAATAGGAGCATGATTTGGTAATTTACCAGGACCTGTACAGAATGTCAGCTAATACTGGTGTATGGCAGCTACAGTATATTGATCATTTGGGCATTATGTAAACTGATAAGTCTTATCTGTCTATACTGTAACAATTCTTTAAGAACTAGAAATACAAGATTTTGTTCAAAGTAGTTTTCAAAAACCTCTGTACCCAGTTTGATCTGACTTTAATAATGTTCATACAGTACACATCAGTCCTCATAGGTCCCCATAACTAAAAGATTAGAAGTTTGAAACCTCAAGCACAGCTTTATTTTGAGTGGCGCAGCTAAATGTGTCAGCAGATTGTGATCTGTTGCATGCAATCACAAACCAGTGACAGTACTTTCCCCTCCCTTCCTCTTTAAACGGTCCCACAGTGTACCATAACAGTAGCTTTTACCAGAATCTTGCAGTTGACTTTTAAAAAATTTTTTCCTGGAGAATAAACAAAGTAAACTGTCGGCACGTGAGTTCTCACGCATAAAAGTCATCTGTGCAGAAATGGTGTGACACTTGTGGCACTGCACTTGTTTGAGTCAATGACGGATTTTTCTTCAATGCTGGTCACTGTCACGGCAGGGAGCACGACTGGGTTTAACTGCTCAGCAGCTGACTTCATTTCGGTGTTTGACAGTCTTCATCCCACTGTTCATATCTGCTCCCTTTGTTGTTGCAGGAGAACGTATCCTGGGCTACTCGGAGGAACCATGTTACCTTTGGTTTGTTATGGAGTTTTGTGACGGTGGGGACCTTAACCAGTACATTTTGTCCCGCCGGCCTGATCCCCAGACCAACAGGAACTTTATGCGCCAGCTGACCAGTGCTGTGGCTTTCCTGCACAGGAACAGTATCGTCCACCGCGACCTTAAACCAGACAACATTCTTATCTCACAGAAGTCTGGTTTTCCTATTCTTAAAGTGGCTGACTTTGGACTCAGTAAGGTTTGTGCTGGTCTGACCTCCAGAAACGGTGAAGAACATCCCGTAGCAGGAGCAGGTGCCAGAGGGAGCATCCAGAACAGCTCGGTCAACATAAACAAATTCTGGTTGTCATCAGCCTGCGGCTCGGACTTCTACATGGCTCCTGAGGTGTGGGAGGGTCACTACACAGCCAAGGCTGACATCTTTGCTCTGGGTATCATCATCTGGGCAATGATCGAAAGGATTACTTTTATTGATGCAGAGTCCAAGCGTGAACTGCTGGGTACTTATGTTCGGCAAGGCTCGGAAATTGTCCCAGTTGGGGAGGCTTTGCTGGAGAACCCCAAGATGGTGCTCCATATTCCTCAGAAGGCCAGAAGCTCAATGTCTGAGGAGGAGAAGAAACTCCTCCACGAGATGCTTGCAGTAAACCCTCAGGACCGACCGGACGCCCTCCAGCTGGAGGTGCGGATGGACCAAGTCACATGTGCTGTTTGACAGACAGCACTTCCTATAACCTCTTATTTCCCTTACCACTCAAAGAAGGGACCTTTCAACTTCCCAGGTAAGATTCATGTCTTTATAAACCATGACCTCATCTGTCTGTTAGGAAAGGAAGCACATTCACAAAAAAATGTTGTAACAGAAGAACTGTAATGCCAAGATTAATTGTTGTTATCATGTGGTTAAATTAAACTTAATTTGTTAATCAGAGTTCACCAGAGGCCTGGCAGAGGTTAACATTTACTTACCGAATACATGCTGTGGGAAAGAGACGGTAAAGTGCTTAAATCGTATAGACTCTATAGTTCTTTATTCTATACTATAGAATAAAGAATTATGAGTCGATGATTACATGTGGTTGGGAGTTTAAATTGCCGAGTGGTCAATAAGGCCAGAAATGCCAGTCCATTTCATACTGAAGGTGAGCTTACTTGTATCTTGGTTGCTACAGTACACAATCCTTCAGTTAAGAAATGGACATTTCTTAATGTCCATTAATGTGCATCTGCCTCCCCTGCAGACCACACCCCGTCACACACATTAACGTGGTAAAATACATATTTAGGCAGAATTTTGCAAATATCTATTCATTTTTTAGCAGCATAGTGCTTTTTTCCAATTATTTTTTTTTTTTTTAAAAAGTCAGGTCAAGGCTCCAAAAGCCCAAAGGCGATATAAGGGTGGCGGCTCACAACAGTTTTTGTTTGCTACATGGATCATTTTAGTTCAGCTGGGTGTCTTTCCTTTTGTTATATTTCTTTAAGAGTTCAAAATGTGTTAAATAAATAAAAAAAATGTAATTTTCTCTGTAGCACTTCATGGATTTCATAAGCAACACACCTTAGTTGTTCACACAAAGCATAAAGGTAAAAAACAATATATACAGTGTTATCTTCATTTTAGATGTCAAAAAGTATTTGCGGCTCCCAGTGTTTTCTTTACGTTGAACCCGGGTCCAAATGGATCTTTGGGTCTTAAAGGTTGCTGACCCCTGTCTTAGAAGATTGAGTAGATTGTGGACCATTTCTGTGGGACGAAAGACAAATTAGGCATCTGATTAAAAATAAAATAATGAATTCATAATTTTGTCTTTGACTTAGTTATTTGTCACAATGTATTTGGCAGTCTGCAGAGGGCAAACTGTTTTTGTGCCACATACATATAGAAAAGTTTCCCTGTCAGTATTGTTGGTATCATTGCTTTGGTACAGCTTGCGTTTGTCATACGTAACATAAGGGTCACCAACATTTTTATCTGTGATGGAGTTTTGTTTGACTCGCCATTAAATACGAATTGACAAATTTGGGAAAAAAGCACAGTCTGCTTCGGTACAGGCTTTTTGTTACTAACTATAACCCAAGAGCCAAGTTATAATTAATTATAATGACACGTTTGAAAATGAATTAGAAAAGCAGTTATCTCTGTCCTCTGCTGATCTCTTGATCCATGGGAACCAAAGCCTCAGGTGACATCCTAGACCTGTCCCTTCACTTCACATACACCCAACTTCTGCTGACGTCTTGCCAGAGCTTTGCACGTCACTGCAGGATTAACTGGGGTAAAAATATCTCCGTATTCAAAATGAGGGATTCATTTGAAATGATCGTGTTTGACAAAACAAGTCTTGCTTAAAATGAACGAACAAATACAAAAGCGTTTATGGTAGGTGAGAGGAGGCGTGCCCATGTCCTCAGGGAAGAGGAGAGGGTGGTTCAGGAAGACGGCTGCGTGATCAGTACTGGGAACCAAACGGGGTACAACCCTGGCCTGAGGGCAAACAGCGCGTGTGTGTGTGTGTGTGTGTGTGTGTGTGTGTGTGTGGGAGGAAGAGGGGGCAGTGTGAGAGTGAATCAGAAAGCGTTGAATAAGCCTTCTGGATCTTTGGCATTTGTACAGTAAATGTGTTTTATGTGGTTTGTTTTCACACCTGACAGTTTTGGAAAACACTGACTTCAGTTTTTATCACCACAGAGACTGTTCAATAAACCTCTCGTGATACAAAGCCTGGCTTATTTATGATCAGTGAAAACTTGGCCTGACCTTATGCTCAGTGTTGTTCTGAAGAGGGTGATATGTAAATATCACTTTGGATTATTCTGAAAATGATTAAAAACCCCACAATGTTCCCTGCTTTAGCCCTAACTCGTACCACTTTACCCAGCTCTTTCATACTTGGTTATGTGCCTTTGTGATCAGTGTGCAGTGGGAAACACCAGGGCATCAAACAGATTTTAATATTAGACAAAGATAAGTCAACTAATGTCTACAAATGAACATAATTCAACAATAACAAAGAGACTGAGCAAAAATCGCAAAGCTGAAAACCACTGTAGACCAAAAAGAATGCAAAGGCTCATCTCACATTTCCAGATGTTTGTTAATAAAAAACATCTGGATGAGCCACAAGATATTTGAAAATATTTTGTCGACTAATAAAACAAAGGTTGAACTTTCTAGAAAGTTTTCATCCCATTAAACCTGACATAAAAATGTACATAGCATTTCAAATAAAGAACACCAACAGTTAGAGCTGGGCGATAGAACGATAACGATATGTATCGCGATATAACTTACTCGATAGAGAAATTAAACTATCGCGATAGACCTCGCCGCTCTTGTCCTCTTAAAAAAAAAAAAAAAAAAGGTCAGCCAATCCAAATTAAGTAGCGCAGAGCCGAACCAATCACAGCCGCAGCGTCACGTCGCGTGACTTGTTACGTACAGCACAAGTGCCAAGCCGCACGTGTGTTTGTTTGGGAAGAGCAGCACCGACGCCGGGTAATGGAGGAAATGAGTGTGCCGACTAGAAAAATCAACCGAGCGTGACCGAAGAGAAAACAGATGATGGTTCCAATGCCGGAGAGATTGTCGAACGGAAGAGCCATAGAAGTTCCGTAGGGTGAAGGTATTTCGGCTATTTCAAGTCTGACAAAAAACAGAGTAGCGTGCACTGTAAATTGTGCCGAAAGCAAGTCTGGAAATACAATAAACTGGTGCATGCGTCACACTGTGCGCCACGTTATTGTTTCGGTGAAATGAATTTCTACAATACTGTTACTGTTAATTCTACTCTCTGCAGTGTTTAAATGCTTACATATACACACAGTTACTGTCCCTCCACACATACGACTCGGTTCTGCTTCTATGCCCCAGCTTTGTTTACTTTTTCCCACCGAGGCTTCTAGACTTCTGATTGGCCAACATTTCTGCACGGTTAGGAATCTAGCGCCACCTGCTGCTTTGGCATGTTCATAGCAGCGTTTTCCTTCATTTCTGCCTTTATGTGTGGACGGGATTATTTTTTAACAAAACGGAAAATCTCCGTTTTCAAAAATACCCGTGTACGTGTGGACGTAGCCTCAGTCTCTGACTGGAAGCGCTAATTCGTCATTCGGCTTTTGTCAGACTAAAGTAACTGTTAAAACTGTTTGAAAAGCTCAGCTATACAACAAGGAGAGATTGAGAATTTCCTTTTAGTTCTCAGTTTATTTGATATTGACAAAAGTTAGTCAGTTTTGTCTGTTCTTCTGTAAAACAAACTAAGATTTATTTTTAGAATTAATATTTTGTTTCTAAGTGGAATTGACAATTTAGTCTGTTTCGTTTGTTCTATTTTGAAACTTAAACGCTTTAGCGGCTGCCTTTTGTGTAGTTTGCAATATTTGCCTTTATTTATCTGAAAAAGTCTCATGTTCCTTAAGTACATCTACCCTGTTGAACTTATATGTGAAATATGGAATATTAAATAAAAACAAGCTGCTGATTATTTCACATTTTACTTGTGAGCAACGGCACATTTAAATCTTACAAATATAGTTATTTGGCTTATATCGTGATAGATATCGTTATCGCCTGAAATGAAAAAAACTTATATCGCCCAGCTCTACCAACAGTCAAACATGGTGGTAGCATGGTGCTCTCTACCAGAACATCCTGAAGGAGAATGTGCAGCCATCTGAAGCTCAGTTTTTGCAGCAGGGCGATGATCTGAAACACCATCAAGTCTACCTCAGAGTGACACCCCCCCCCCCCCCCCCCCCCCCCCCCAATATAGATTACAGTCAAAGTCCAGCATTAAAATCCTATTGAAATGCTTTGGGATGACCTTAAACAGGCAGTTTATGTTAGAAAATCAGTGTGGTTGAATTAAAAAAATTCTGCAAAGGAAACTTGGCTAAAATTCCTCCAAAGTGAAAGACATTTATCGCAAAGAGCTTGATTGAACTGATGGTAGCCAAGGTTTGCACAACCAGCGTTAGGTAGTTACTTTTTCATTTAGGCCAGGGCCAGTTGCGTTGGATAAATCGACATCCTGGACCTAGATATAGAAGCGGAGGAATGGTCGAGGGTGCAGCTAGCATCCTGGTATCAGTAGCACAGTTGGATACGTTAAGCTGTGTTGTCAGGCTGCTGAAAGCTGATGCCTCTCGTTTTAGGGCCCACTGTGGTGGGGCTCCAATCCAAGTAGAAATCCTTGACGGTTAATTTTCAGGGGAACTGACTGGAGCATGAGAGTAGTGATGTAACTTCTGAACCCAGCACCAAGATAAGCCAGCTTTTCAGGAGACTCGCCTGATTTGAGGTGTGGTTTTGAAGCCAACGAAGGAGCTTTTGCTGGTGGGTAATCTTCATTTATTGAAGCTTCTAAAGTTGCAATTTTGACAAGATGGCAAGCGAGTGAATGGAGCAGAGAGAAGAAATGTGCAGAATGAATGTGACAGACCTGATAATTGTTTGGTAGTGCCAATGGCTGCCTAATGGTCCTGCAGCATGGCACGTGGTGTTTGGTGTTGTGCTGTAACCATCCAGACAGCCCAAAGTTTGTTAGCCTTAAGTATTGACTACAACATTTAGGCAAAATTTTATGCAAGTTGTTTTTCTGGAAAAGGGATAAAAAGTTTAAACATTAAAATTCAATTTTACTTGGATTAATCAGAAAATTGGCCTGAGATATTTCTACAAAGAGGTACAGAACAGTATCAAGCTTCCTAAGCTTGGTAATCCTTATCAGCCTTGTTTTTTTTCTAATCCTACAACCTGCTGATCCCTACTCAGTAGCTG